TCACTTTTTCAGCCCTCTGGGTAATCCCTATGTGCATATGGACTATTCAGAGGGCTGAAAAAGTTATTTTTGACCAGTTCTCGCACTTTTGACCAGTCCTTGCACTTACGACTGTCCTCACATTTCACGTTTTGCGCCCTATCTTGTCACCGTGGTGAAGAGAAGTAGTTGTGAAATGAGTGACACGGTTATTAAGAATGCTGCAACAGGCATAAATGTGAGGCTGGTCATAAGTGTGAGGACCGGTCAAAAGTGTGAGGACCAGTCAGAAATGACTTTTTTCAGCCCTCTGAGTAGTCCCTATGCACATAGCCAGGCCCACCCCGTCACATGACCAGCTAGCCACGCCCGCCCAATCACATGGGGGGCTCAGCCACACTCACCTAGCCAGTCCGGCCCCCCAACAGTCTGAGGGACCCTGAAGTGGCCCCCTGTTCAAAAAGTTTGAGGACCCCTGGTTTAGGCTATCGATGTTAACCACTAGATATCAAAATATCAAACTTACTCTAATTCTATTAGTCTACCTCCTGGTGATAACAATGATATTGATAGTGACACCCAAGGTTCCAGTGATTTCCAGCAAGCTAGCAATCTATTATAATTCAGTTCAGTTCAGCAACTTTTCAACCTTGCCCTTCTGTTAGGTTTAGGTCTTCTCCAAAGGTCTTTTTTTTCATTATTTCATCATGTATCTTTATGCACTAGAACTCAAGTATATCTCTTGCTGTTGTATATAACCCCTAATCGCCACCACTGCAAGATTATAAGATGTCACATCGCGAGGCTCCCAGATATCCACAATAAAGCAAACCTAATTTAGTGTCACTAAAAGGAACTTTCTCAAAGGAACCAACCCTTGGGCCTTGTTTCAGTTCTAAAACAAAAAGTGCCTTGTCAGAATCCAAGGGAGAGTAGCACAGCCATTTTATCTCCCACGTTTGTCAAATCTTCTCCAACTTTCAAACTATTCAACTTTTCCATGCAGTCCAATGAAAATCTCCCGATCCAGATCCACTCTGTCTAATTAGCAACCACTATCCCTCTCCTTTTATCTTCTATCCTTTTGGGTCTTAGAAAAAAGCTCCACAATCTCCTTTGCCGCTGCTATCATTGGGGGAAGGCAAACATCCCCCCTCTCCTTCTAAGAAGAGCCCCTTCTTTTTCTCAATCAGCTAGGGGTTTTGCTCAGCTTCTTCTCCCTGCCGTTCCATTCACTATTTGGAAATCAGAACTGATTTCAGCCAGTTCCGGTCCACCGATGTTCCACTTCACCACTGCTTTCCTCATCTGGCTGTCAGCTCTGTGGTTCAGTCATTATGGGCCGTCTTCTTCCCTGTCTGCTCTCATCGAAGATTCCACTGCCTTCTGACACGGGCCGCTGCCTGAACTCGATCAATCGGTCACCTTCTTCCCAAGTCACCCCTTCAGGGCAACTCTGGCTTTGAGAAGCCCACAGGACAGCTGGAAATTGGTTGTGCTTCACAGAGTGCCCATTCGCATACCCTTTCGGGCTGACAGCTAGCCCCGCCTCCGGAAATTTTAACTCCTTGAATCAACACAATTTTTCCTCTCACAAGAGGATCAGCTACTATCATATTTTGCAGAGAAGCTGTTGCTTCATAGTTTTTTGAAATAATAACAAGATCATTTTGCCTGTAGAGTTCGAAAGCAATCCCTCTCCATTCAGTAATGGAGAGAATCACCAATCATTGCACATAACATGAAGGAAGGCAAAACACTAATTGAATGCTGTTTTTGCATTCTCCCATTAGCTGCAGGAGGCAACCTCTTAGTTCTTATATTCTCAACATTTCAAGAGTCAGATGTAATAAAAATCACTGAGGGCCCATTTCAATATAATTTTGAGGAATAGAAATGGCATTATGAAAGTGCCAGGCTTGCTCAAAAGAGCTCTTGTAAGAACTGCAGTGATATAGTACATGTATATATATAGTAATATGTGTTTCACTTTATTGTATTGTACAATTGTACAGATAGTCTTCAACATACAACATACAACCATAGTTGAGCCCAAAATTTCTCTTGCTAAGCAAAGGAACAGTACACTTAACAATTGTTAAGTGAGTTTTGCTCCATTTTATGACCTTTCTTGCCACAGTTGCTAGGTGAATCATTGAAGTTGTTAATAATATGGTTGTAAAGTGAATCTGACTTCTCCAAGCATCCGAATTTTGATGATGCAATGGTTTTAAGTGTGAAAAATGTTCATAAATCACTTTTTTCAGTGCTGTTATAGCTCTGAACAGTCACTAAATGAATAGTTGTAGGTTGAAGACTACATGTATTAATTGTTTTTATGTTTGCAAATATTCTGCTCTTCAAAAGTTTCTAATGTGGATATTTATTAGAATGCACATAAATAAAATTAAATGAAATTATTTAAAAAATAAAAATAACTTCATCATAAGAAAAAAAAATTAAAAATGAACCAATAACACCATTTATATGTGAATACAATGTATTCATACAATATATTTCTAGATTAGATAAATAGTTTATCAAAACTTGTAGGCTATACCTGACCATCACAAGAATTATATTAAGACTCGGTTTTGGTGAGACGGGCAGTTACATGGTTGTGAATAAAATAAATAAGCAAGCAAGCAAGCCAGGACCCAGTGGCAGAAATGAATAGTTCTGTTTAACAGAATAAGGACGGAGACAAAATCAGGGCTAACAAAATTAAGATAGGGTAGTATGCTGTCAAGTGATACTTTGTACCCTCCCCAACTTAAAATTAACCTTTGCATTACCTTGTACAGAATAATTGCCTTGTTACAGCCCTGTTACATCTTTTGTGCACAAAAGAGAATTTTCTGAGGCCTTAGGGTGGTGCCCAAAAATCTCTTGTCCTTCTTAAGGATAAGAGATTTTCATGTATTGTTTACCCACTGCAAATTTGTTTCAAATATGTTGGAAATCAACTCTGAGAATTCCCTTCCAATATTTCCTAAAACTCTGTAAGTGGTAATCCCCCAGTTACGACAGTTCACTTAGCGACCATTCAAATTACGACCTAGCCCCCCCCCCCAAGTACTTATGACCCAGTCCTGAAGTTACGAATGTTGCAGCACCTCAGCCGTCATTCACACTTACAAACAATGGCAGAAGTGCTGCCACATTCACCCTTTCTATTTCCTCTCCCCTGGCCGGGTCGTCTCAGGCATTCCACCTATAGACTCACTTATACTCTACTCCTCTCTGCTGCGGTTTCTTTGCCTGCTTCGTTACTTCAGGCCTTTGGTGCATTCACAGAAAACAGAGGCCTAAAGTCAGGGGTGAAATGCTCCCAGTTCAGGCTGGATCGCCCAATCCGGTAGTGATGGAGGCGGGTGGTTCAGAGAACCGGTAGCAAAAATCCTTGTGTCCCCCCCCCAATGCCCAGCTGAGCCGCACAATCATCAGAGGCTTTTTTTTTATTTTTAAAAGCATTTTTTCTACAACCTCTTCTAAAAAATGCTTTTAAAAGTAAAAAAAAAAAAAAGCCTCTGCCGATCAGGCAACTCAGCTGGGATCGTCAGAGCCTTTTGAAAGCATCTTTTTACAACGTCTTTGCTGAAGAGTTTGTAGAAAAAATGGTTTTAAAAGTAAAAAAAAAAAATTGGCCACGCCCACCCAGTCACATTACCCCCACCACCAAGCCACGCCCACAGAACTGGTAGTAAGAAATTTTAGATTTCACCACTGCCTAAAATACTCATGCTACTGATCTCATGTGATCTCACATTAGTTTAGGCCTATGCTCTCTGCAAATTGAAGCCTGGATGAGATCTGCAGCAAAAGGCTTTGCAAACAGAGGGAAGGCTTTGATCCTTCAGCATTCCTTCCGTATGCTGTTTCCTTGCTGAAGCCTGCAGGGAGATTGTGTCCCTATAGGCTTCTGTAGCCCATTGCAAAAAGCCTTTGCCAGTACAAGCCAAGTTTGGGCAGGGCAGGCACGTCCCTCCAAAGCTCCATTCGTACTGGCAACAGCTTTTTGCAAAGGGCTGCCGAAGCATACAGAGACACAGTCTTTCTTGCAGGCTTCAGCAGCCCTTTGCAAAAAGCCTTTGTCTGCAAGAGTGCAGCTTGGCAGGGGCTGGCATGTTCTTCCCAAGCTCCATTCGTGCTGGCAAAGGTTTTTTTACAACAGCTTGCCGAAGTGTTTGGAAGCCAATGGCACACTTTTAGGAAGTGGATTTCACTGCCTAAAAGTGTACCATCATCTTCCAAAAACTTTGTGGGCTGAGATTGAAAGTTTATGAGCGTCATGGTCTCATGCGGCAGAGAGGCTGGAGAGAAGACAGCTCTTTAGACCTTTCCAAGATAAGTGATCTGGTGCGGCAGGATGGGGGGGGGGAAGCAATTGTGGGGAGCATGAAGTATTTCAGTGGGTCAGGGAGGCCTTGGGTGGTCTTAAGCAGATGGCCTGTCCATCCCTAGGCTCCCCATGGCCTTCCCTACCCTGAGATACCTCATGTGCAGTTAACGACACATGCATTCGATTAGTGAATGAGTGGCCGAAAGCAGGGAATAATCACAGTCAAATTATGCAATTCAGTCCTATGAATCCTCGGGTTATGAATGTAATTGTCAGGCTCCATTACATTTGTAACTAGAGTACTATGTGTATAGCTGCAGAGAGCCAGGATAGGGCAAATTTCTCTTAAGTGAGTGAGGTTAACTGTGTTCTTCAGGCTGGAATCGATTATCAATTATAAATATTTAATTTTGATCTGCATTCTGATCTCTATGAGCATTCTAAATATATGTAAGTATAAGGATGACTGCTGTTTCACAATATCTGATTTTTTTACTAGGTTGATAGTTTGATAACTTTTTTTGAAAGAAGAGTCTTATCTATACTTGAACATAAAGGAGTGCTAGAATCATTTTCATACTTAGTATGTTGTGAAGATTAACAGTATTATTTCTAATGTTAATTGTAATCTGAATAATAATAAAAGCAGTTAAGGAAAATGGAATATGTTTTTGAACAGAGCCCAGACCGAAGTTAGCAGAACAAATGAACAAATTCAAGACTACTGTGGTAAATTCAACAAGATGAAATCGGAGCAAGACAACAATGAGGCCAAGTTACTAGCTGAACTGGATGACTTAACTAGAACAAAGCAGTTCCTGGAAGAAAAGTTAATTGAACTTCTCAGGTTGGTAGATTTATTTTTAGGTACCCTCACAATCAAGTGGAAAAATTATTTTTCACTTCTAAATTTTATTGCTACAGAATTTAAAGCCATATTTATAGTTGGCAATGCCCCACAAAGTTCTCTTAAAATCTTCAATTGAATATATTCTAAATATATTGTACTCTTCTCTGCAGCACTAATCATGCTTTTTGTCCATTTGGAATTCTAGAAGGAACAATATTTCTCTCTCCTTTACCCAGGAAGTGTGTTACCATTCAGGAATGGAGTTTGCTTCCAGGCCTTAGAATAGAATGAGCTGGAAGGGACCTTGGAGGTCTTCTAGTCCATCCCCCTGCTTAAGCAGGAGAAACTATACCATTTTAGATAAGTGACAGTCTAGACCAGTGATGGCTAACCTTTTTGCCGTCGTGTGCCAAAGGCGGGGGAAGTGCGGGGGGGTTGTGCGCACATGTGCCCACACCCATAATTCAATGCGCCCAGTCCCCCGCACATGCATGTGCGACACTCCCCCGCGCTCCCCCCGCTTTTGGCACGCGATGCCACAGTGGGACTGGGAGGCCTGTTTTTCGCCCTCCCCAGGCTCCAAAGCCTTTCTAGGTGCCTGGGGAGGGCAAAAACTTCCTTTGTCAACCCCCTGGAGGCCCTCCGGAAGCCAGAAACAGCCCGTTATCCGACTTCCGGTGGGTCCAGAAGGCCTGAAAATTAGCTGGCTGGCATGCACATGCGCGATGGAGCTGAGCCACGGCAATGTTCGCGTGCCCAGAGATATGGCTCTGTGTGCCACCTGTGGCACGCGTGCTGTAGGTTCGCCATCACGGGTCTAGACTCTTCTTAAAAACATCCAGTGATGGAACACCCACAATTTCTGGAGGCAAGCTGTTCCACTGGTTAATTGTCTTCACTGTTGGAAGTTTCTCCTTAATTCCAGGTTGCTTCTGTCTTTGATTAGTTTCCAACCATTGTTTCTTGTCCTCCCCTCCAGTGCTTTGAAGAATAATTTGACCCTCTCTTCTTTGTGGCAGCCCCTCAAATATTGCAATACTGCTATCATGTCACACCAATCCTTTTCTTTAGACTAGCCAAATCCAAATCCTGCAGCCATTCTTCATATGTTTTAGTCTCCAGGCCTTTGATCATCTTCGTTGTTCTTCTCTGAACATTTTTCCAAAGTCTCAACATATTTTAATATGGTGGCCAAAATTGGTTGCAGTATGCCAGGTGTGGTCTTACTAGGGTTTTATAAAGTAATACTAATACTTGACGTGATTTTGATTCTATGCCTCTGTTTATACAACCCAGGATTGTATTAGCTTTTTTGGATGCTGCTGCACACAGCTGGTTCATATTCAAGTGATCATCGACTAGGACTCCAAGGTTCCTCTCACAGTTACTGTTTTTGAGCCAGCTCTCTCCTAATCTGTTCTTATACCCTTTAATTTTCCTGCCTAAATGTAGCTGAATACCACTAAAAAAGAAAAACAAGAACTTTGAGAAACCAGCATGGCTGCACAAAGATCTCTCCAACAAAGTGAAAGACAGAAAGGGCAAGTACAAAAAATGGAAAGAGGGACACTTAACTTAAGGCTGATTATCAGTAGATAGCCAGAACATGTAAAGATAAAGTCAGGAAAGCAAAGGGTCAGAATGAACAAAGACTTGCAACAAAAGTCAAAGATAATTTTAAAAAGTTTCTTTCAACATATAAATAACAAGAAAAAAGTCAAGGAAACAGTAAATCCACTAAAGAGAGAAGATGGCAAGAAAGTAGAGCTGCTTAACTTGTTCTTTGCATCACACAAAAAGAAATTATAGCCCAACGTACCAAAAAACTATTATAAAAGACAAACTAGAAATAAAAATTAAAATAAGCAAGAAAATGGTAAGAGAACATCTATCTGACCTTGATGAATATAAATCACTGGGACCTGATGGATTATATCCCAGAGTTCTGAAGGAGCTGGCAGATGTTATCTCAGAACCATTGTACCGTATCTCTCAAAAAATCTTGGAGAACCAGGGAAGTACCTGAGGATTGGAAAAGGGCTGATGTGGTTCCCAACTTCAGGAAAGGGGTGGGAGAAACAGACCCAGGAAACTACAGACCAGTCAGTCTAACATCAATACTTGGGAAGATTCTAGAAAAGATGATCAAAAAACAGATCTGGGAACAACTAGAAGCAAATAAAGTTATAACTAGTAGCCAGCATGGGTTTATTAAAAAACAGATCATGCCAAACCAATCTTATTTCATTTTTTGATAAAGTCAATAAATTAGTAGACCAGCGAAATGCTGTGAATATAGCGTACTTAGATTTCAGTAAGGCATTTGACAAAGTAGACCACAACCTACTTCTTGGTAAGCTAGAAAAATGTGGCTTAGACAACATCACCACCGGATGGATTTGTAGCTGGCTGACAAACAGTACTCAATGAGTAGTCCTTAATGGTACTACATCCACATGGAGAGAAGTAAGTAGTGGGGTACCACAAGGCTCCGTCTTAGGCCCAATACTCCCCAATATTTTCATAAATGACTTAGATGAGGTAATAAAAGGGGAACTCATCAAATTTGCAGCCTTAGAGAAGTCCAATCTCCAACTTATTCCACAATTCACTGTCCAATTTCATATTCTGGAATATGGCAATACCACATTTTCTTACTACATTTTCCCAGTGTTTTTTGTATTAGGAGTATCTAGGTGAGTTGAGGAGATGTGGAGATGAAGTGGTTATGGAGATCCCTTATTTGGATAATGTTATAATGTTGTTATAACAATTATAACATTAACAACACATTATTGTGTTGTTGTAACAGCAACACAATAATAGTTTGTGGGGTCTTTTGTTCGCTTTGTTTAATAGAAGAAATAATAAGAGAAAAATGAAGCAATCCTATCATAGGTTCACATAGATATACATTGAAGTTTTATACAGTTATTTGAATAAAGGATGACCATATTCCATTGTAAGTATGGATATATATATAGGTAGTCTTTCCTTATCAACTGCTTGTTCAGCAACTGTTGGAAACTACTACAACACTGAAAAAGGAGATTTATGACAGGTCCTTGAAGTTGCAGATGTTCCAGCACCCTCTGCAATCATATAATTTTGATTTGTGTGCTTGGCAACTGTTCTGCATTTATTTAGTTTAGTTTATTTGATTTGTATACCACCCTACTCCCGAAGGACTCAGGGCGGTGAACAGCCAAACAATAAAATACATAGATACAAAAAATTTAAAAACCAGATAAAATCAAATTAAATCATTTTGACCCAGACAGATTAAAACACCCCAATAATTTAAAAACAGATTAAAATTTACATATTTAAAAAAGGGAAGAGATTAGGCCAAGCCCACCTGATGGAATAAAAAGGTCTTCACAGCGCGGCGGAAGGTGCGCAGATCCGGGATCCTCCGTATCTCCGGGGGGAACTCATTCCAGATGGTAGGTGCCCCCACAGAGAAGGCTCTCCCCCTAGGGGCTGCCAGTCAACACTGTTTGGCTGACGGCACCCGGAGGAGTCCCTCTCTATGAGAGCGTACTGGCCGGTGGGAGGCTATTGGTGGTAGTAGGCGGTCCCGTAGATAACCAGGTCCTAAGCCATGGAGCGCTTTAAAGGTGGTAACCAAAACCTTGAAGCGCACCTGGAAGACCACCGGGAGCCAGTGCAGCTCGCGCAGGAGAGGTGTTACATGGGAGTGCCATGTCACTCCCATTACCACCCGCGCGGCTGCACTCTGAGCCAGTTGGAGCCTCCGGGTGCTCCTCAAGGGGAGCCCCATGTAGAGAGCATTGCAATAGTCCAGGCGGGAGGTGACGAGGGCATGAGTGACCATGCGTAACGAGTCCCGATCCAGAAAGGGACGCAACTGGCGAATCAGGCGAACCTGATGAAAAATCCTCCCGGTCACGGCCGTCAAGTGCTCTTCTAATATTTATGATAGTCACAGCATCCTGCAGGCACGTATTTGCCATTTGCAGTCTTCACAGCTGGCTTCTGATAAAAAAGTCATTGGGGAAGCTGGAGGAAGCTGGAGGAAGTCACAAATCATGGTCATGTGACTTCACACTTAATGACTGTGGGTGATTTTCTTCAACTGCAACCAAAACTGATACACAATAATTCAGGGCAGTCACATGATATTTTACTTTGCAACTGTATTGCTTAATGATGGAATGATAGTCCATAAGTGAGGATTGCCTATAATCCACATCTGTAAACAATTCATTCTTAAGGAACATTAACAACCAATCAAGGACAGAACCAACCTAGAACTAAGGAGAAATTTCCTGATAGTTACAACAATCAGTGGAGCAACATTTCTAGAAGTTGTGGGTGCTCCAGGACTGGAAGTTTTTAAGAAGAGATTGGACGACCATTTATCTGAAATGGTATAGGATTTCCTGCCAGAGCAAGGGGTTAGAAGATCTCCAAGGTCCCTTCCAACTCTGTAATTCTATCAAATAGTCAATTCCTGGGGGGTAAATTGGGCCATTAATTTATCTTTCTAGTGTTGAAAGTTTAGCCTCTTAACAATAAGGGCATAGAGAATCCATTTCTGTTACCCAGCCCATCATTTTCTACATAACGGACATATAGTACAGAATAATATAAACCTCCAAAACATACTAAACCTTATCTCAAACTCAAAATATGTAGTATTAATACTGTTAATATGCATGATATCAATAGCACTTCTGGGACTAGAAAATATTAATGGACAGATTGCATATTTTCCATTTCATTGATATATTGATAAGGCAATCCATATTTAAACCTTTGTACTGATCAGTCTGATTGCATCACAAGTTCAACACAGGAAAAGATTGTGCTTTGGTCAGTGCATGTGTAATTGATTGGAAGCAACATAACCTCTATCTGGCTGTGGCATCATACTCTGCGGTGTTGACTAATTTTTTTCATTGCATGTTTGACTATTTGTTAAATCCTGTGGTTTGTAGGTGATAGCTTGACATTTAAAGTTGCAGAGAAAAAAGTGCTTCTTCTCTAATAATGTTTACTTAACATTAGACCCAATGAGTTCTGTCCATATGCTTGTAACAAATTACCTTCCTTGGGTGTTTTGTAGCCTTGTTATCTGGTTCTTTTTCATAAGTTTATTCTTCCTTAGACTATGTTCTTCTATGTGAAATTCTGCAAAAAATATTCACCCTTTTTTAAATTTTCTGAATGTTTGCCATTTATTATTATCAGAGCCTAATAATGTATAACCTATTGATATGTAAAAGGAATCTGAATGAACAAATCACCACAAATTGGTGCTGGTTTCATTCAGTTTGAAAGCAGAGTCATCCAGTGTGCGATGCACCATTATGAAAAAGTACCCTCTTACATTTCATAGCTGATTGTGCCACTTTTAATTGCAGTAACTGCAGCCAAAGCTTTCTGGATTGTAACAGATAATCAATTTATGGCATTGTATAGGAAATTTGACTAAACAAACCAGAAAGATTCTGTTATTGGTTTAACAATATGTTCATATGGGTCATTATACTCCTAATCACCTAAGATATAAACTGGAGTTTGTTCTTGGCTAATGATTATAACATGTTGAAAGAGGATCAAAATGCGGGTTCTAGTTCACACATAATATTTATCACAAAATCATAGTTTATTATTTGTTTCTGCTTAGAACCAAGGAAGAATGAATGAGAAATGGGTACCATTGAGTTTCCTTGTTCCCTAATAAGTCAGAATTCTGTTTTTATTGATATGAGTGTGTGTGTGTGTGTGTGTGTGCACGCATGTGTGTATCCACTTTATTCTTACATTTCTCACGTGCTAAAAAGTAGTCTCCCTCAAGTCGAGCTGGACTTTTGGTGAGTCCATGGATTGCCCATAAAATTTGCTTTGGTGGTAATAAGGAAATAGTTTCCTCATTTTTTTTTCTTTTCCAGGCTAGGCAATTATAAAAAACTTTTTATGTAATATAGGGAATAAAAAAAATCAAGGTAGCCTCTCAGGACTCCAAATTTATCAGACAATTTTTAATAAAGAAAGTGAATTTCTGCTATAGGGGACCAGATTTAAGATTTTAAAACAGAAATTATTGAATGACAAATTATTCTTCATACATGCCTTTGAAAGGGACAAGGATGCTCTTTGGCAGAAATCAGATGCTCTGGAATTCCAGCAGAAGCTCACAGCAGAACAAAGATGGCTTGGTGATGCCGAAGTCACCAGTTGCTTAGAATGTCAAAAAGAATTTGGCTGGATGAATCGCCGACATCATTGCAGGTCAGTATTTGGAGGGATTGAACAAATACGAGCAGTAATGATTAGCCTGATGTTTAATAATCAGAACAATTTTATATTATTTTTATCTTATGTATTATACACAAATTTGGGGTTGTCCTCAGTTCCATTCAAAATACTATTCAAATAGTGTTAGAGTTTGCAATCCCCCCAGCACACAAGTAAACAATTCAGCAGGATTCGTATATAAAAGAAACTTCTTTATATACAGTAATATAAAGAATGATGCATGTACCCATGCAGTAGAAGCCAGAACCAGAACTCAGAATCCAGAATCCAGAAGCACAGAATCTATATAATCACAGAAGCAATAAAATCACAGAAGCACTCTTATATATATACAGATCAGTCAAGCTAAGCCACGCCAAGGCTCTGCGCTGTCTGACATGGCTCTCAGTCACCAAACAGTTCTCATTGGCTGACTTGTTGTTATGGCTATCCCAGCTCATAATTTCTTACACACTGACAAATAGTAATAGTAATACTATTGGAAAGATATTTAGAGTTTCAGTTCCAGGGGTTGTAAGACAGAAGTATACTGTTAGTTCAGATATTCATGTTTTGTTTATGCTTCATGAGAGGAGTTTTATTCACAATATATATACAGTATGTCTATAAGCAACTCATATACTGTCAAAATCTCCCTACAGTATGTGATAGTGTAATGCAATTACGGTCTTCACAGTGAATATTCAAGGAAAAGGTGTATATTCAAGGAAAAGGAACAGCAGAAAATCTCCTTTTCGGTTCTAAAAGTATGTATCTAGCATGGTCTAGAACTTAAATCATTATAAAGTCTGACCATGTTTGGTGAAATGAACTAATGGTCTGATTTAGTGTGATAAAACTTCAACTGATTCTTCTCACCTTCATGTTCATTTCCGACAGTATTCTAGTAAAGTCATAATAGACCGTGATGCCCTCGCCACGGTCACTCATGCCCTTGTTACTTCTCGGTTGGATTACTGTAACGCCCTCTACATGGGGCTGCCCTTGGGATGCACCCGGAGGCTTCAGCTAGTCCAGAATGCGGCCGCACGGGTTGTTACGGGAGTCTCTCGTACTCCTGTGTAACCTGCGTGAGCTGCACTGGCTGCCGGTGGTCCTCCGGGTTCGTTTCAAGGTGCTGGTGCTCACCTATAAAGCCCTACATGGCTTAGGCCCGGGGTACTTGCAGGACCGTCTTCTGCCATCCTCCCATCGTCCTGTGTGCTCTCACAGAGCGGGCCTCCTCAGGGTGCCATCAGTCAGACAATGTCAGCTGGTGGCCCCCAGGGGGAGAGCGTTCTCTCTGGGAGCGCCAACCCTCTGGAACGGTTTACCCACCGAGCTTAGGACAGCCCCCAACCTCCTCCCCTTCCGCCGCGAACTGAAGACGTGGCTTTTTCATCAAATGGACTGACCCGTTGTACATTGTAATAATTTACATTGTACATAATTTTACATTGTAATAATTTTAATTAATTTTAATTGAATTTTAATTTATATTTAATTCATATTGTTGAATTTTTTATCTTGTAAGCCGCCCTGAGTCCTTTGGGAGAAGGGCGGCATATAAATTGCAATCAATCAAAAATAAATAAATAAATAAATAAATAAATAAATAAATAAATAAATAAATAAATAAATAAATAAATAAATAAATAATAAAATAAATCAGACGAGGAAGATTGGAAGGCAATCCACAATCTATCATAGCAATTCTGATAGATTTTGACTTAATCCTAGTAGAATTACATACACTGGCATTTTGTAGTGGTTGTGTGATTTTTTTTTTAAAGGCAAAACTGCAATAACATTAGCATAGTCAAATGTATGTGTTTTGTATGTGTGTCAATGTCATATACAAATGGTAGGGGCTTCAGTTATGCTGCCATGATATCTGTGGTACTTTTTTTAACCCTTCACTTAATCTGCTATGGATGTCAGTGTCATTGAATACAGAGTCCATTGAAGGACTCTGTATTCTCTGTGGATTGATTTTAGGGTAAGACTAATTTGTCTGAAGTGCTGAGTTACTTGCACCAATTGCTTTCTTAGAGTCAGAAGTACAGTTTCCATACACACCATCTCTAGTGTGAAACTCTCACAAGGTTTTAGTGATTCAGACCAAAAGAAATTGTTAACTATTATTTTATTAAACTATTAGTAAGATGTGTTTCATCAAATACAAGAAGTGGTCTGTAGGAAGAGTAGTCTGTAGGAAGAGTCCAGAACCTTCAGTAATGTTGCTTTACTTTGAATTCAATATTTGATCATAGAGTAAGTCCTCAATTTACAATCATTCATTTATTGACAGTTTGAATTTACAATATACTGAAAAAAGTGACTTATGACCCATTTTTCACACTTACAACCATTGCAGCAATATTTTTGCAGAGAGTTGTAGCAGATCTTGTTATGGGTAGCTAGTCTATGTATTTCTGTAAATAGAATTCTCAGTCATCCTGTTCAGTTATTAAATGACAGCATTGACTGTCATTTAACTCTTACGTCCTACATTCCTAGAACATTATTGGTCTTTTATTTATATTGTTATGGTTTACAAAACTATATATAAAGCAATAGTTTATAGATATGGGAAGGAAGGCAGGAGTAAAGTGAGAAGGGCTATAGGCATGTTTTACTCAGAAGCAAAGTTTTTGCCCTTTATGGCAAAAAATGAATTGGTTCAGATTTTGATGAACGTATGTGTAGATGTTTTATTAGGAAATCATTTGTGTAGCAGGATGTTGTCTTTTAATTGATGGCCTGAAGAGAAAGTTCAAAACCAGATCTCCTTGAAATCATTAGAAATATTTAAATTATATCTGAAAGAAATATTTTATTTCATTGTGAAATAATCACAGCAACCAGAAATTATTTTGAACAGGTTCATCTTCTTTTCTTTCATCCATTCTACACTTTTATTGAGAAATGAACTATATTGAAAAGTGTAGAATGAAAGAAAGAAAAGAAGATGAACCTGTTCAAAATAATTTCTGGTTGCTCTGATTATTTGACAATAAAATAAAATATATTTTTCAGATATAATTTTATTGTGTCCCATTAATGCCTTAATTTTAAATATATGTTTTTACTTTGTTTTTTTAAGAATGTGTGGATGCATTTTCTGCTATTACTGCTGCAACAGTTACGCCTTTTCAAAGCAAACAGGAAAGAAAGAACGCTGTTGTCGAGCTTGTTTTAAAAAAGTAACTGCCAATCCCATTGATTCTGAGTTAAACTTGACATCAGAAGAATCATCTTCATCATCAAGTCTCCTGACCTCACCATTGTCCCTGGTCCACAAAATTTTGGGTAAGCTTCAATATATTTTTCAGAATTTACTGTGGCCTTACAAAAATTTCAGATTAGATATTACCCTATTTTTTGGTCAGTTTTAACAAATAATCCAGGATGTATTTCCTCATTTAGGAGACCCTAATGAGAAAATTAGAATTATCCTGTGAAACTGGGATGTGACATGCTAGAATGATCTATTTTCTCTCCCCACAATACTGCAATGTTGTATTTTCAAATCCTTGTTAAGGATTTGTTAACAGATAAGGGGGAATTGAAAGAGAAACGAGAACTGGAAGAACAGGGGGTTGAGATAGATTGGTATATGTATATGCAGATAAGAACAAGATATGAAAAAGATGCAAAGTTACATGGTTTTTATTTAGAAAAGACTGAGTTAGACAGTATACTCACAGGAACAGAAGAAAATTTAATTAAATTTTTTTATAATTTTTTGTTATATATTGAATTGGAGGAGGAACAGGTGAAAGGAACAATGATAGCTTGGGGAAGAAATTTTGAACATCCAATTGATCTTGAAAAATGGCAACAACTATGGGAGAGGAATTATAAATTAACGATGTCCACCGCATATAAGGAAAATCAATATAAAATGTTTTATATGTGCCACCAGAGAAGTTAGCAAAAATGTTTAAAGATAAATCAGCGAAATGTTGGAAATGTCATCAATTACCAGGATCTTATTATCATATGTGGTGGACATGCGCTGAAGCAAAAAAAATATTGGAATAAAATTAAATCCTGGTTGGAAGAAATGACACAAATATGTATTGAATTTAAACCAGAGTTGTATTTATTGGTATCCTACCTGACAAAATTAAAAATGAATATATTTATTTGATTATACATGTAATAACAGCTGCAAGACTTGTTTATGCACAAAATTGGAAATTGGAGAAAATACCTTTGGAAGATGAAGTAATAAGAAAGATTTTAGATTGCGCTGAAATGAATCAATTAACTTTATTGATTAATAATAGGGAAGAATCAGAATATTTTAAAACATGGAATTATTTTTACTGTTGGTTGCAAAAGAGATATAAATGATTAATTGTATAAATATGTATAAAAAACCTGATAGTAAGAATATGACCATAGTAATCAATTCGTACAGTGATTTGAAGATGATTGAAACAGAAGACATTGCTGGTACAAGAAGAATAAAATGAAGTGAAGAATTTAACACCGAGATGTCACAGAGGAGGGCTGATTGATGTTTTAAATGTTTGTTTGTTTGTTTTAAAAATGATAAAAAACTTTTATGTAAAAAAATAATAGTGCAATGTTGTATTTTCACTGTGGTGGACTTCCGGTTGATGTCACGGTGAGATCGGACATGGAAAGCGGGTCTCCGCGTTTCCGTGCTGAGTTCTTCCTGTTGGTGGGCTCTGAAAGGAGCTCACCTTGGAGGGACAGTGAAGCAAAGAGGGATGGCCTGCAAGGTCTCAGAGATTGCAGCTCTCCTGCTTGACCCGGGGCTTACTTTCTCTCTCAGCCACAATGAGAAGAGACAGCCTAAGATGGCTACCATGAAGCTGGGACATCCGATGACTATCTAAGCTTTGAGCTGGAGTACATTTTGGTGAACAGTGTGGAACTGGGTGAGAGGATTTTTTTTACCTGAAAGTTAACCCCAAAAGAGAAATCTAGGATTTACTCAGAACTATGTGTTAAAGCGGCACTTTGAGAAAACTTTGAGAAACACTTTGAGAAAACTACCAGACTGGAAGGAAAGGATTAAAGGGGGGGAGGGATTCTTCAAAATGTAGGAAATTGGACTCTCAAATTGGGAAGACATGACATTGGGAAGGCAATTTAAAATGCTGGAATTACGGATTTAAAAAATTAACACTGCTTCTATAATTTAATTACAATTTAAAATAATTAAAACCAGATTTTTAGTAATAATATTGAAAATTAGCCTGAGAGTGCCACCTGCTGGTGAGAGGAAAATATACAAGCCTGGGAATACCCATTTAAGGCATTGAAAATATTTACTGGATTATATATATCTACTGTATGACCAGTGGAGATTTAAATGTGGGAACAAGGAAGACATTTAATTAAAGTGACCCCTGAATGTTAAGTTATATGACTGAATCTATAAAGGTGACTTAAAGAGGCTTGAATAACTCCCTGGACTATGTAAATGGAATTGACTGACTACTTATGGAACATAAAGAACTGTGATTAATGTATACTTTGAAGAGTAACCCCAGGTTTGAACAAATGGTTTTTGGGCTATTGACCAAAAGTGGAATTTATTAAAATAAGATAAGATACAACATAAGAAACGAGCGGAACTTTGAACAAGATGGACTGGATGTTTCAAAGCATAAAGAATATGATACAGAAAGAACATAAGGTGATTATTGAATTAATGGAGGGCATAAATCAAAAATTGGAAAATATTATACAAAGGACAATGAGCAATGACCAAGATGCCCAGGAAAGGAAGGAGCTACCAGAAGGAATAGAGGGAAAAACAGAATTGAGGAATCAACGAAAAGAAGATAACGAGGAGTCATCAATAAAATTAATAATGTTGATGAATCAAACCAGGGGGAAAACATTCTAAGAGATCTGAAAAGAGAATGGGAGGAGCAGGAAGATACTTGGGGAAGGGAGACAGGGGTCTGGGCTAATAATTTCAAAGCTAGACAGTGGAACAGGGTAGGGATGGGAGAAACACTTATTTTATTTTTTTATTTTTATTTCTATTTTTTTTATTTTTGGATTTATATACTGCCCTACTCCCGAAGGACTCAGGGCAGTAAACAGCCAAAAAGATAAAACACACAAACTACAAAATTTAAAAGACAATATAAAAACCCATTAAATAATTTGGCCCAAAACAAATTAAAACACCCCTAATGTTTTAAAACAAATTTACAATTTACAATTAAAAGGGAAGTTAGGCCAGGCCAGCCTGTTGAAATAAAAAGGTCTTGAGGGCACAGCGGAAGATGCATAAATCCGGGATCCTCCATATCTCCGGGGGGAGCTCATTCCAGATGGCAGGTGCCCCCACAGAGAAGGCTGTCCCCCTGGGCGCCCGCCAGTCGACACTGTTTGGCCGATGGCACCCTGAGGAGCCTCTCTCTATGTGAGTGTACTGGCCAGTGAGAGGCTACTGGTGGCAGAAGGCAGTACCCAGGTCCTAAGCCATGGAGCGCTCTAAAGGTGGTAACCAAAACCTTGAAGCGCACCCAGAAGACCGCCGGGAGCCAGTGCAGCTCGCGCAGGAGAGGTGTTACATGGGAAAGCCACATCACTCCCATAACTACCCACACGGCCACACTCTGAACCAGTTGGAGCCTCCAGGTGCTCCTCAAGGGGAGCCCCATGTAGAGAGCATCACAGTAGTCCAGGCGGGAGGTGACGAGGGCATGAGTGACTGTGCGTAAGGAGTCCTGATCCAGAAAGGGATGCAACTGGCGGATCAGGCGGACCTGATAGAAAGTCCTCCCGGCCACAGCCGTCAAATGCTCTTCTAAAGACAGCCGTGAATCCAGGAGGACACCCAAGTTGTGAGCCCTCTCTGTGGGGGCCAACGACTCGCCCCCAATAGTCAGTGATGGCACCAACTGACTATATCGGGACGTCGGAAACCACAGCCACTCGGTCTTGGATGGGTTGAGCCTGAGTCTATTTCTCCCCATCCAGACCCCATCTTAGATTGACTAGGCAGGATGTAGACACAGATACAGACAGAGATAAAGATTTAAGAGAAGAATATAGGAGGCAAGTTTAAAAAAAGAATTAAAGTATTAATGCAGGCAAGATTGATGATGGGTAGAAGGTGGATAGGAAAAATAAGAAAGAAAAAAACTTTTTTTCCCTTTTTCTTTCCTTTTTTTATAATGGTGGCAGGAGGAAAAATTAAAACAGAGATAGGAATGTGTTCAATAAGAGATTGAGGGATTACTTTTATATATCTATCTATCTACATGATGAAACAAAAGTAATAAAATTAGAAAATTAGAAATTGAATGATAAGTAAGTTTAAATACCATTGTGAGTGGTAAACATTGAGCAATTAAATAACGAAAAGAACATATTTTAATATAAACGTGTATTAATACTAGAATTATATAGATTGGATGAAAGCAAAGAATATGAATAGAGTTATTTTGTATGTTTAAATAATATCGTGATTGATATAGTATATACCATAATATATTGAATAGTATATTGAAACATTGAATAATGAAACAATGAAGGATAGTGTTTTAATATAAATAGATTCGAAGAGTGAAATATGGGAAATATAAATAAGGACTAAGTATTAAAAATGGGAAAATTAGAGATTAAATAATGGTATTATTGAGTTTGTTTAAATAATATTATGATTTACAGTGGAATAATAAAGTGAAATAATGAGTAATAAAATGATGAAAGAACATCTTTTAATATAAACAGGTGATTAATAGTGGAATCATATAGATTGGAAGAATATAAAGAATATGAATAGAATTAATTTGCATGTTTAAATAATATTGTGATTGGTATTAAAATTGTATATTTAAATATTGAACAATGAAATAATGAAGGATAGTATTGTAATACAAAGGGAACTTCTTTTAATATAATGGTGACATGAATAAAGACAGAAATAAGAGAAAGGGGGAATATTAATAAACACTTTTATAAAATAAGACAAGTGCAAGGATAAGAGGGAGATTTAGAAAATGAATGGCGGTAGTATGTATGTTTAAACAATATGAAATAATGAAAGATTATAATTTGATATAAATGTGTATTACTATTAGAACTATATAAACTGGATGAATGTGATAACTATAATCAATAATACAATTTTATCTGTACTGTAACGTATGGCACTCAGATGTCACACTGTTCACGCATTGATATGTAATAAAAAATCTGATTTTAAAAAAAAGATATTACCCTATTTTTGGTCAGTTTGTTAAATAATCCAGGACATATTTCCTAATTTTGGAGACCCCTAATGAGGAAATTAGAATTACACTGTGAAACTGGGATGGTGACATGCAAGAATGATCTATTTCCTTTCCCCACAATAGTGCAATGTTGTATTTTCACTGCGGTGGAAATGTGTGCAAAAAAGCACCTAAAGCTTTTGGATTTCCTTTCAAATGCATGCTTCATTCATGTTCAGGTAGTTTTGTAGGTATTAGAACCTTAGTAGTACATATGCAGCACTCAAAATCCATCAAAGCAGTAGGTTCAGCTCAAAAATCAGAATCTACCTTTATGGAACTTTATGTGAATTAGGAAGATTATGTGAATTATTAGATTTAAGAAGAGGTTGGATAATCATTTGTCTGAAGTGGTATAGGGTTTCCTGCCTAAACAGCAGGTTGTACTAGAAGACCTCCAAGGTCCCTTCCAACTCCTGTTCTGTTCTGTTCTGTTCTGTTCTGTTCTGTTCTATTCTATTCTATTCTATTCTATTCTATTCTATTCTATTCTATTCTATTCTATTCTATTCTATTCAGAAATGGATGTGTGCTGTATGCTATTAGAAACAGCCACTTTTTGAAACATCTTGGAGACTATCATTCTGCATGTAGTAGTTACTTTTTGGAATATAGCACATAAGAAATTGTTGGTGAAATGTCAATGCAATTTGTTTAATGTCCTTTCTGGCAGCCCAAGCCTACTATTATTATCCCAAAATGAAGGTTTCCTGCTACACAAATAATATTTTTATATCTTCTCCTTCTGGCACAGTTACAAACGAGGCCTCTAAGTCTACAGATGACGCAATGTTTGATATAATAACAGAGGAAGAAGTGGGTCAAATACAGGAAGGTGATTCTGTTCACAGCAAAAATCAAACTGAAGAACCTCTGGACCATGGTGTGCCAGATCTGTGAGTAAATATAACTTTAAAAAATGGATGTTAATGCCACTAATTAGCAGAAAAAGGATGTGTATGATATGTAATGGAAAGGAAAATTATTTCTTGCACATTCAAAAATCGAAAACATTGTAGAATCATAGAGAATATAATTATAGAGGGAGATTGCTTTGGCCTTCTTTCAGGATTGTATACACATACGTTCTGTCAAAATAGGCAGTATATCCAGTGGTTACTTCTTGAACGCATATTCCTAGTACCAAACCAACAAAAACCAATTCTTTCCCGCCACCTCCAAAATAGCAAAGTTCAGTCTTTTCTGGTAAGGTAATTTCATCATCCTGGCTATTGAAGCTCTTGGCTGCCAAAAATCAAAGAAGAAAAATTCTGTATGATTCTTGGTCATGAAAAGTTGCTAACCCTCATCTAAAAAGTAATGAACATATCTCCAAATTATGGGACAAGATCTAGGTCTGCAGCAAGGATTGAAGTAAATAAAAGTGCAGTATAGCTGTTGGAGTAGGTTTGGGAAGTTAGGTTTACCCTCAATCACATAAGCTGTTTGGGTAACTTTGAGCCAATCCATTTCTCTTGGTTCAGTCTAGCTCACAGGCTTGTTATGGAGAGAAATTGGAGGACAGCCTTGAACTCCAGGAGAGATGGATCATAAATCTAATAAATTTTAAGATAAAACTCAGCTGGGTGACCTTGGGCCAAGCCCTCTTTCTCAGCCCTAAGAAGCAGGCAATGATAAACCTTTTCTGAAATCTTGTCAAGAAAATTGCAGAGCTTCTTCGGACAGTTTGTAGTAGTCAATGCTGACTTAAGGGCACCCTCCCACAAAAAGATATAACTAAGTAGGCTATCTTGTCTTTCTCAAATAAGATAGTTAGCATATGCTTGTAGCCCATAAAAAAGTTTGAAATGTTCTTACTTATATCTCCAAATTGTTATTTTCGGCTGTACAAATTCTTGAAAAGAATGCTCAGAAGGAATAGAAAACAATTCTCTTGAAATCATAAAAACATCTATGCCTTTTTTCAGGGTCAGACAGATGCTTCCTAAGCTGCCCCAACTGCAGTTACTCAAGGCACCTAACATACCCAACACACCTTCCTCCTACTTTCTCTACAACAACAACTCTGTGAGGTGAATTGGACTGTGAATGATTGGCCCAAAGTTACCTTGCTGACTTTCATGGCTAAGGTGGGACTAGAACTCAAGATCTCTAGCTTTCTAACCCACTGCCTTCAGCAGAGGCTATCATCACAGTGTCAACCTACACTGTAGAGAATATACCCGCCATCTCCCATCCAGCCTGTTCCTAAACTGTTTAATGTTAGATTGTCATAGGAAAAGGAAAGAAACCCTCATGCAGGCCTTATAACTTGCATTAAAGAGAGGGGTTGAGGTGATGCAGTTGGGGGCAGCAACCTACTCGGCTCCAATTGCGTTTGCAGGTCTCCTGTGGGACTGCTCCACTTCCCTCCAGTAGCTCAATTTTCAGCCTGTGATTCATTGTTCTTTTGGATGTTCTCCCCCTGACCCCTCTTCCCACACCCATGAAATGCTTTGCTAATTGGGAGCAGCCATCACTTGGAACTGTTCTTTAGATTGACAGGTAAGTAATAAAAAAAGGAAAAAAGTCACAATTTGAAAACATTGCCAGCATTTTTAACTATCTTGAAATAGCTCTTAAAATGCCTTATTTTTCTTTTTTCAGAGGCAGAAGCACTGCTGGCACTGCCTCCCAAGCACCTTATAGGCGTTCAGTGCAATGGTAGTAATGATGCAGGGAAATAAGAAAATGGCAGCCAACCCACCAATCACTGCCCTGAAGCTAGTGTATGGGTAGCAGCACTTACAAGCCTTATTGCCAAGATGCATGAAGGAGAATTTATTGGGATAGCGCTTTTTGTACCATCAGATTTCTCTTCATCTCAAGGAAAAGAGGAAAGCACATTGCCCATGGCCATATAGATGAGTCTTTACTATTTCTGTCAGAACAATGGAGAAAATAAGAGAAGTGTAACTTTTTGTCTCTCTTCCCTTCCTTTGAAATATGAGTAGTGGTGAGAGGAGCTATTCTTTTGGGCCCAGTTCAGACTATCGTGTTTGATCTTTAAAGTTCATAAATTGTGACTGGGAACCTGTCTTCACATATATCTTGTTATATTTGTAGCAGAGGTGGTATTCAGCAGGTTCTGACCAGTTCTGGAGAACTGGTAGTGGAAATTTTGAGTAGTTTGGAGAATAGGTAAATACCACCTCTGACTGGCCCCGCCCCCATCTATTCTCTGCCTCCCGAGTGCCAGCTGATTGGGGGGAAATGGGGATTTTGCAGTAACCTTCCCCTGGAGTGGGGAGGGACTGGAGATTTTACAGTATTCTTCCCCTGCCACGCCCACCAAGCCATGCCCACAGAATCGGTAGTAAAAAAATTTTGAATCCCACCAGTGATTTGTAGATTCAAACTTCGACAGAACCTTCTGAAAGTTCTCTTTTCTTTTTGTAGAGAGCTCATGAGATGGATATCTACAGGAATAGCAAGAGAGAGAAATGAAGTTGTGTGCATCATGAAATCATCAGGCAAATATATAATTCATGCAGGGGTGAAATCTACTTATCTTCCTTACCGGTTCGGAAGCGTGCATACCACTTGTGCGTCACGTGCGCGCACACACCTGTGCAAGTGCAAAACTTGCGCATGCACAGAAGGTAAAAAAACATTACTTCCTGGTTAAAACCAGGAAGTAATGACACCTGGGCGGCGATCACTACCAGATCACCAAACCACAGGGAAAAATCACTACTGGATCGGGCGATCTGGTACGATCTGGGAGCATTTCACCCCTGAATTCATGTGATTTGTTTGATGACAGAATGGCACTTGCAACTTCACTGTGATGTCATCATGCTTCTAATGGATATCTGTAGGCTCACCTGATATTTTAATTTCTATTTTACCAGACTAATGTTCTTCCTTTTTTTCCAAACAGCTTCTATTTCCTGGGCTTTCATGCCCTCATTTGTTGCTCAATTAACTGCTAATCTATACAATAATACTATTTTCATAAATATCAGATATTCTTCTTAACAGATTTTTAAGTTGAAGAATCACTTTTTTTTAATTCTTTGTACTTGATCTTAAGATCTGAGCCTATATATAGATAATCCTTGGTTTATAATCATAATTGAGCCAAAAATTTCCATTGCTAAGCAAGATAGTTGTTAAATGCGTTTTACCCCGTTTTGTGACTTTTCTTACCACAGTTATTAAATGAATCACTGCAGTTGTTAAGTTAATAACTTGGTTGTTAAATGAATCTGGCTTCCCCATCGACTTTGCTTGACAGATCACAAAAGGTGATCACAAAAGGTGATCACATGACCCAGGGACACTGCAAGCGTTATAAATATGAGCCACTTGCCCAGTGTCTGGATTTTGATTACATGACCACGGGAATGCTTCAACACTTGTAAGTGTGAAAAATTATCATAAGTCATGTCTATGCAGATTCCCAGTCATCGAGGTCATCATTGAAAAAGCACATTTGGGACTATCATAAGTCACTTTTTTCAGGGCTGTTTGGTGAAAGAATCTTTTGGACCAAAGGAGTAGTAAGAATTAATTGGTCAAGACTGGTCATTGGTTCTATTAGAGCTGCGCTGGTGCAGTGGTTAGAATGCAGTACTGCAGGCTACTTCTGTCAGCTGCCTGTAATTTGGCAGATTGAATTTCACCAGGCTCAAGGTTGACTCAGCCTTCCATCTTCCTACAAGGGTAAAATGAGGACCCAGATTGTTGGGGGCAATATGCTGACTCTGTAAAACCACTTAGAGAGGGCTGTAAAGCACTGTGAAGTGGTATATAGGTCTAAGTGTTATCGCTGTTGCTATTGACCTTTCTCAGTTTGGTGTTATTCACTTATAACAGGTCTCAACCCCTTCATTGATTTCATGCCTTATGGGTGACATTTTCCACATAGAATAAAATAATTTTGTAATGTAATAAATGGTGGGAGGATGAATGTACTGATTTGACTGCTGCAAAGCCAAGCTTCTGTGGACAAAGAAGGCAGTAGTGAGCTCCATACAGTAGTGGCCAAAATTGTGGAAACCTTTTGGGAAAAGTGTATTTTCTAAAACTAGCTAATAACACCACTTTTTTTGGAGTAGTACCATAAAATTATATATCAATGGAAAGATAATTTAATCAAGAATGTAATGCAATAACTTTTATGACGGATTTCCTATTAGAATAGCAGTTACAGTATAAAGAAGAAAAGTGAAACACATAGAAAAAATGAGATATAAAAGATTATCACCATAAAAAAAACCAGATATACAAAAATTATCACGTCAGTTAATACTTAGTTGGGTAACTTTAGCATGAATTACGGCCTTATAACATCTTCCCATGGAGTGGACCAAGTCTTTTAGTTCTGCAGCTGTTATAATGTGAAACCAAGATTGAATGATTGCTTCTATTAACTGGGTTTTATTGCTGGGTCGCTTCTAACTAACAAGTTTCTTTGGCTCCATAGATTTTCAGTTGGGTTAAGGTCTGGGCCAGACTCAAACACTCAAAGAGCCATTTGGACCCATTTCCCACAGAAGAAATAACACCGGAAGCCACAAAACCTGGGTGGGCGTGGCCAACTCGATATCACTCACTCCCAGTCACATGACCCCCCTAGCCACACCTACCCAGCCAGTCATTAGGGCAGAGAATCAAGAACCACAAAACCCTTTTCTTTCTCTCTCTCTCTCTCCCCCCCCGTATCTATGTCTCTCTCTCTCCCCCCTCTCCCTATCTTCCCCTCTCACCCCCTCTCCCTCTCTATCTCCCCCTCTCTCCCCCTGTATCTCTCTATGTCTCTCCCCCCTCCCCCTCTCTGTTTCTCTCTGTGTGTATTTCTCTCCCTCTCCCCCTCTCTCTCCCCTCCTCTCTCTATATCTGTGTTTGTGTGTGTGTCTCTATGTCTCTCTGTGTGTGTATTTCTGTATGTCTCTCTCTGTATCTCTCCCCCTCTCCCTCTTTCTCTCCCCCTTTCTCTGTATCTCTGTGTGTGTATCTCTCTATGTCTGTATGTGTGTATCTCTGTTTCTCTCTGTGTGTATTTCTCTCCCTCTCCCCCTCTCTCTGTATCTCTCTCTCCCCCTCTCCCTCTCTCTCCCCTCCTCTCTCTATATCTGTGTTTGTGTGTGTGTCTCTATGTCTCTCTGTGTGTGTATTTCTGTATGTCTCTCTCTGTATCTCTCCCCCTCTCCCTTTCTCTCTCCCCCTTTCTCTGTATCTCTGTGTGTGTATCTCTCTCTCTCTCTATGTCTGTATGTGTGTATCTCTGTTTCTCTCTGTGTGTGTCTGTGTCTGTGCCTCTTCTCACTCTCTGAAAGCCCAGCGACTTCTCATTGGGGCTCTTCGCAACTGCTTTTCTTTCTTCTTTTTGGAAATCCGGGCTGGCTGAGGAACAAGCACGAAGCACAGTGGAGGCTTTCCTTCGGGCAACTCTTCTCCTTCTCTTTTCGCAACCCTCTGGCCAGCTATGGCAGGACTGGGAGTGTGCACATGAGCGGGGAGACCCTTCTCAAGTGAGCCAACGGCTATGCCAAAGAGCTCATTCCTCAACCAGTCCAGATTTCCAAAAAGAAGAAAGAAAAGCAGTAGCAAAGAACCCCAAGGAGAGCTCGCCAGCTTGGCCCAGCCTTGGTTTTCCTGACCCCCGGGTGGGTGTGCAAGGTTGGGCGGGGCAAGCCCCCTTTTCCTGCTGCCCTGAGCTTCTTAAAGCCACAGCTGGGCACTGTGGGCCCATCCCCCTTTCCATTGTCCCCTCCTCCTGGATCTCATTCCCACCCTGCCAGCCCTCGTTTTAGCGAGGCTCGTGTTGGTTGCGGCCAGGTCAGGGCAGTGTCTCGGGGTGGAGAGCAGGTTGCACATCTCCCCAAGCGACTGAGGCACGGCCAGCACCAACAAGGGTTGGAAGAATCTCCAGCAAGAGTGAGGCACCATAGAATCAGCCCCAGCTGCTTCTCCACCCCCTGCTGTCGCCCATACCTTCTCAGGCCAGGAAAGGAGTGGCTGGGAGGGGAGGGCGAGGGATGGGGCCAGCCAGTGTCTTGGGGAATAATAATTCTACTGTTACTGGGTTGATGATTCTAGTGATTGGGAAAGGCCCTATGAATTTGGGTCCCAATGTCTTTGACGGCTGTAAGGATTGTAGGAATTTTGTGGACAGGTAAACCTTATCACCTATTTTAAATGGGTTTGATTCTGTCCTTCTTTTGTCAGCTTGGGCTTTAAAAGCGGCTATAGCCTCCTTCAGGGCTAGTTTCACTACTAGTCAGGTATTTTGTAGTTGTATCCACTCCTTAAGGGAGGGCATGGTTGGTTGTTCTACTGGTAGTTTTGGCATTGGGATGAAGTCCTGGCCAGTGGCAATTCAAAATGGGGTAAAGCCAGTGCTAGAGTGCACAGAGTTTTTATAGGCAATTTCTGCAAAGGCAGGAGATAGTCCAGTTATCTTGTTAATAGTTAATAAAGCATCTTAAATATTGTTCCAGAACTGAGTTCAGTCTCTGTTGATCTGTTAGTCTAAGGATGATGAATAGAACTTAGGCCCTGGCCGGTTCCAAGAAGGTCCAAAAAGGCCTTCCAAAACTTTGAAGTGAATTGGACCCCCTGATCAGATATTAACCTTTGTGGGGCCTCATGTAGTCAATAGATATGCTGCAGGAACAGTTTGATGAGTGCCTTAGCAGTGGGGATTTTTTGGCAGGGAACAAAGTGGGCCTGCTTGAAGAAAAGGTCTGTTATGACCCAGATAACAGTATTCCCCCCCCCACTTTCAGGTAACTCTACAATAAAATCCATAGAAATCTCTCTCCAGGGTGCTGAAGGCTCAGCTACTGTCTGTAAAAGACTGTGGATTTTCCCTTGTCTCCTCTCTGGTGTAGATCTAATTCCCCCATGGTTCTGAGGTTTTCAAAAGCCTCCATCACTAACCGCATAATGTTTCTTTTGAGGTGGTCATCTCTGGCCGGTTCTTCGATCAGCTCTTCCTGGTCAGACAGTGCTCTCAGATCGTGTTTCCAGCCCGGTTGTCGACTGCCCCGGGTGAGGGTGACTCCTCGGGTTCTTCTGACCCAATTATCATTCTTCCTCACTCCGATCGACCATCTGGGCTTCGTGGGGGTCTTCAAACCGGCTTAGATGTCTTCAATGGGGCAGAAGGAGCTGGCTTCTGGCTGGGTGGTGGTGGAAGTCTCATCCCAGCATTCTCCCTCTCCTTGCTCGCCGCTTTGCTCGGACATTATGTGCAGGGTCCCCTCGGTAGAGTGAGTTTGCTTCTCCGGGTTGACCACTTTTTCAGAACTTGATTTATGAAAGGTCTTGCTCTCCCTCCTGTTCAAGAAAGCATGGACTCTCGAAACTTTAGCATTTCAAAAGGAAACTTTTATTGAAAGGAAGTGAATGCAAGACAATGCAAAGCAGGGTTTGAGTTCCCCCAGGCAATTCCATTATGATAACGTGGTTAGAAACCCCTCCCCTCAGTTTGATGTTGAATGAGCCAATACACAGGCGCGAGGAAGTTGTGGAAACGGTTGTCCTGAGAAAGAGAGATGGAATCGTTCCCATGCATTTCTTCTGTGAGGCTTCCAAACTGAGAGAAAACAGATAGCCCTCCCCCCTTGTACATCCCCCAAGGTAAATTAAAGCACAGGGCAGAATAGGTGCCAAAGTAAAAGTTATAAACTAGGGAATTACAGGATACATAGGAAAACAGGATGAAACAGTAAGTGACTAAAAGAATCCGGGGTCCCCTCTCCACTTGAATGGCAGTATCATGATAGGGATCTGACAATAGGTATATTGAGAAATGTGCAATATGTACTGCTTGTTTTCATGAGCACTCAGAGCAACTAGAAATCAGCCTGAAGATATTCATGAGTATATGTCCCAGGTCTCTTATAAGGGAACCATGCTGGTTTCTTCTGCATTATTTGTAGCAGTACCACTTTTGGAGATGTTTTCATCATTTGCTTGCCATTGTCTTGTAACTTGATGTTTAACACAACAATTACTTTTTAGAACTTTTGCTAAGTTCTTTCTAAACTTCACACCAATAAAGACATAGAGAACTGGGTTGAGGCAACCATGGAAATAAGCAATTGCTTCTGTGATGATCAAAGCATATTCAAACCTGTAGCTGAGCATGATATTACGGTCTGAGGCCCGCATGAGTTTCAAAAGATTGTAGGGCATTTGTGTCAAAATGAAAGTTGCAACAATAGCAAATATTATTTGTAAGGATTTGTGCTTCTGGAAGCCCTTAGCACTGAGTAAAGTTTTTATAATGATTGAATAGCATATAATCATGATGAGCATAGGACAGAAGAATCCAAGTGTCATCTGAATTGTTTCTGTGAACAACATAAACTCTGAAGAATAATTTGCAAAACATATCTTTTTGTCTAATTTTTTCTCTGTACTGAAGATGAACTGTGGCAAAGCAAGCAGCAGAGAGATTACCCAAATCGAAATACAGACCACTATACCCCAAAATTTTCTTTTGTGTTCACTGATACGAGTTTTGGTCACTTGCACAATTACAAAATATCTATCAATAGTTATAGAGGTGAGCGTTAACATGGAACCATACAGATTCAAGGTGTAAAAACCAAGGATGATTTGACATGGGAGAGTATAAAAGATCCACTCTTCTGCAGCAGAATAAGCCCAAAAAGGCAGTGTGCAAAGAAAGCTGAAGTCAGCAATAGCCAGGCTCACTAAAAATATGTCTGTAAGCATTTTCACTTTTTTGTAAAAAACCAAAGTTATGATAACCAAAATGTTTCCTGTCACTCCAAAGATGCAAGCAAATGAATATATGCAGACAAGGAAAATTCGCTTGAACCCCAAAAAGGTTTCATATGAGTAGCTTTCATCAGAAGTGTTGCTGCTAAGAAATGCATAATAATCATCTTCCTCCATGTTTGTGTTCCTTCTGTTCTTTAATACCTGTAAGAATATATATTGAAGAATGGTTCACATGATAAATGTACAATGCAGTTTCCCCTATTATTATTAGGAAAAGTTTCTATCATGCTTCACCAGCTTGGAGATTTTTTTTATCTATTTTATTTTATATCAAATTTATATACCGCCCTTCTCCCTAAGGACTCAGGGCGGTGTACAGCCAAATAAAAACATAACTACAAACATTAAAATACTATTAAAAAGATATATATATATAGATGGGGAGATGGCAGTTACAGTCTAGATACTGGTGGGGATGAAAAGATTGGGGAAGGCTGCTACAGTTCTTCATTTTAATTTCCTTAGTTTGAGTATATAGTTGTATCAAACTAACTTACAACAAAAACATACATATAATAGCATTAACAATGTAAAGTAGCACTAGAATAATGATATTTGAAGAAAAGAAAGAAAAGATTATATCATAAAATTACCTCTTTTGCCTCTCTTTTCCAAGAGGAAACTATTCAGAAGTCTTCTTTTTTTGTCCTCTATTAAAAAAAAATAAAGAATCCAGTTGTTTACAAGCAACATATTGCTGCAGATTGAATTGGATCTTTCCAGTATTATGTAACATTCAGTCCTGAATCTAGAAAGTTCATAATTATTAATGGCTTGTCAAATTTCACATATAGGAAACGTAGGGGAAAAGATCATATGCAGTTTTAATACAGATTATTAATTATATTAATTGATCCAAATCATATTAATGACTCTATTGATTTTAGTCCCAAATGTAACAACAGTAGGATAAATTAAAATCATTTGAGTTAAGGTTCCAATTTTTAAATTGCCCTTCAATAATAAGGCAACAGAAGCCAACTCTTATTAAATAGTCTCTGAAATGTCCAAAACATAAAAGCATTTATGCCATTAAGATCAATGGAAATTAATTGCATACTTTGAAAACAGCCTTTGACCAGTTAAATCTTAATAAACTATTTCCAAAGATAACATAAAGTCAACTTCTTCCTTTCTTTGAACTTCCTAAAACATAGTTTATAGCAGGGGTGGGATTGAAAAACCGGTTCGCTGCCTGGTTGCTGGATGGCCATGGCCATGGGCGCATGGCCTATTCGGCCTCCTACACCAGGGGTGGGCAAATATGGCCCCTTTATGACCTGTGGACTTCAACTCCCAGAATTCCTGAGCCAGCTTGGCTGTCTCAGGAATTCTGGGAGTTGAAGTCCACAGATTGTAAAAGGGCCACATTTGCCCACCCCTGTCCTACACCATGGTGGAGGCTTTCCTTGAGCCTGCAGGAGGGCAAAAATGGCCTCCCCCAGACACCGGAGGCCCTCCGGAGGCCAGAAATGGGCCCGTTTCCGGACTTCCAGTACTTCCAGTAGGCCCATTTTTTTCCCTCCCCAGGCTCCGGAGGCTTTCCTGGAGCCTCCAGGAGAGCAAAAACAGGCTTCCCCGGGCAGCGGAGGCCCTCCGGAGGCCAGAAATGGCCCCATTTCCAGACTTCTGGTATTTCCGGTAGGCCCGTTTTTCGCCCTCCTCAGGCTCTAGAGGCTTTCCTCGAGCCTCCAAGAGGTAGAAAATGGCATTCCCCTGGGCTCCAGAGGTCCTCTGGTGGCCGGAAACAGGCCCGTTTCCGGACTTCCGGTAGGCCCGTTTTTCGCCCTCCCAGAGCATCCGTGTGCACCCTGCACTTACCTGGCCTCCAAAATGGACCTCATGGAGACTCAGGGGAGGGGAGGAGTGGGCGAGTGTCAGCCAGTCCTTCGCACAACTGGTTCAGCGAACCAGATTAAAATTAACATCCGGTTCATCCGAACCGGCTGAATCCCACTCCTGGTTTATAATTTAAACATGGTTTAAATTTCAATTGAATTTCCTAAAATCTACAAACTCAGATGCAGTAATGGCATCACAACCAGAGAGTCCAATTATCAAGGATTTAAGTTAAAAAATAATATAAATCAAGCTTTTTGTTTAATTTTATAGACGTTTTAAAAGCAGTTCCCCCAGAACTGAATTGATCCAAAATGCTAATATCCTAAATGCCCAGTTTGCCCAGAAAATATATTTATTCACTTTTTAAAATCTGTATCTCTTGACTGTAATCATAGGTAAATTTTAGTTTCATAAAGGAACCAACAATCTTCAGCCCAAAACATAATCTGAACCTTAATAGTGAAATATGTTTCCACTGTATTAATCCTGAATCAAGGTATGAAATCATGCAACTGATCAAGTATGTATAAGTATATAATAATTGTATTATACATATATACATACATCAGTATACATGAGTAAAAGCTACAAAAGAATATTAGTCATCCAGAAAGGATTTTCAAGTGGTTAAAAAGAAGGTGAAAAAAATTATTTACCGAAGAGGAGAGAATTTATAATTCAGGGTTGAAAAATTATTTACACAGATATAAACAACAACTCTAAACATTTAAAGCAAAGTGTAAATATCTAATGAAGGGGAGAATGCACTATTGAATATTTCGTTTTACACTTTAATTATGTTTTTATCTTGGCTTCTCTGTTTTTGATCTACTTTTACAGAGTGTCTAAACAAAAATAAAACTCATCAGTTACTTTTAATATGTAAAACAAAATAAGAATTTCTTAAATTGAATATGTATAATAACCATAGGAAGCTGGAGCTAACTGATGATTTATGGCATCTTTTGATAATAATGCTTGGATTTGTTTGTTCCCCTTTTGCAAATAAATGTATTGCAGCACTGAGGTATTTTTACAGCTAATATTCTTGGAAAAGAAAATGAATCAATTATTTAAAACTGTAGAAGTGGATATGAAAAGTGAGATTTAAAAATGTAGGATTTATAAAAAATAAAAGTAATCTACTTTTTAAAATGCAACATATCTGAAGAAGTAGATAAACTTTTCAACATCATTCTTTTAAAAGGGGGTGACTTTTTTAACTTGTTTTCTTAAATATAAAGATTTTAAATATAAATTTGAAGCAGATAATAGCTTACCTTGCAGTGGTACAATCTTTATCTTGTAGTTCAATATCAGAAAGGGCACGAGGCTGACATTTGGGGTAACAATATGTATTTATTTGTTACCATGTGCTTCCTGTTCAATTTTACAGGAACAGCAACTATGTTGGTTATGCATCTGGTTTACCGTTAAATATCTCTAACTTGAATAATCCAGCTAATTGTGGGAAAATATGTTTTGTGTGTTTGGGTACTTGTATCATGTGATATAATTAAATGGTCTTATACATTTTCTTGTATGATCTTATTGGAAGTAATGTTACTGGAATAATGTTACTGAGGATCAAATAAATAATTGTTTGGGCCAATTTAAAATATTGGCTTTATCTAGGATAATGCCTATATAGTTTTGAAGATGTTGGAAATAGTAATACTTTTTTTACATGTGCCTTAGCTGCTCAAAACATTCCCAATACAGTGAATTGCTTTCCCCAAGAAGCATGAGTAGCTTATGACTATTTGGAGGAAAAGATGCAAATATATCTATATTCAGCACTTTTTAATAGAATATATTTTATTATTGTAAGTCACCTAGAATAACCCCATAGCAAGATAGATGGCAAATAAATTTAACTAATAAATAAATATATAGTAGCTCAAGGTTGAACTATGGAATCCTTGGTGTTCTCTGAGCTTGATTATTTATTTGCAGACTTTTCTTGCCTGACTAGGTATTCTCATCAGTGCTAGTGTGTGTATGGTTAAGTTGTTTGCTGTTAATGTACAGTGTCTTGCCTTGCTGGTATTGGTGGGGATGTGGATTTCTCCTGGGTATACTTTCTTGATTAAAATATTGTTTTCTGTTAGGTTGTTGTTTTCTGCTTTTCTGTTCAAACAACCCTATGTTCACTAGGATTGATAATATTAGCCAGTCAAGTAATAAAACAACTGCAAGCAAACAATTAAGTTCAGAGAACACCAAAGACTCCATTTGCAGTTTGCAACAATTTTATTAAAATTTGACACTATGTTGAGATGTTTGTTTTATGTACAGTTTCATAAAAATTCTGTGCAGATTATATAGGGCAAGCATAAGAAATAATTTTGGTGGTAGTTATTTTAAAAGCAGTCATGCTGTAGCAGTAAGACTGCTGTGGTAGGCATGTTCAGAAACAAAACCTAAAATATCTGATAGATCTGGGAATTTGAACAGTACCAGAGGAAATGTTGAATATCCCCAAAGTCACTTGTACAAATGGAGCTTCACAAGTGCTCATTTAGCTTCTGCTCACGTAATTGGAGCTGCATGTGCATCCGGCTTAGTTCCAAATGGACTATGACCTAGTATTGGTTCGCAGCCCGGGAGTTGGGGAACCCTAGTGTAGGAGGCTTAAAACTGGGCAAGGAACAGCCAACTCTGCTACTTTTTTGCATATATTTTTATTTTATTCAAGACAAATACAAAATGCAAAACTCCCTCCCAAAATCCAAAAAAAATTCAAAAAAGAAAAAACACAAAACCCCCAAAACAATCAAAACATTAAAAAAGGAAAAGATATCTCAAAAAAAGACCAATACGTATACACGTATTATCTCTCCCTAGTTGAATACTGATCGATACATTACTATGATGTTAGTTCCCACCCCTTGAAAAACAGGCCCTCCCAAAAATTTTAAATGGCTAAATCTATTTGTAAATTATTATTTTTTTGTGTTTTTTTTTATTTTATTTATATAACATATACAAATTCATCAAACACTGTGTTGTCTGGGTACAATTGTTTTTAGGCAATCATAATCAAAATGTTTACAATAGTATTCATCACAATAACATTAATACTATAATAACAATAATATTTAACTTATCTACTTTAACAAATCTCCATTTTTACGTCCCCACATTTCTAACTTCTGTTTCTATTGTCCAACCATTGGTAAAATAGGTCCCATATGACAAAATATTCAGTTTCTTCTTTGTCCTTAATAGTAAGCGTTAGTCTATCCATTTCTGCACATTCTAATATTTTCTTAATTACTCTCACATCTGTCAGGATCTTATCGTTCTTCCACTGTTGTTCAAATACAATTCTAGCTGCAGTTAGTATATGTAAAATCAAATATATAGTCCTTTTATCATATTTTTCTGGCAGAATACCCAATAAAAATATTTCTGGCTTCAAGTCTATATGCTGCTTTATCATTTTTTCCAACCAAGTATGTATATTCGTGCAATATTTTTTAGCTTTTGGGCATGTCCACCACATATGGCTGTGATGGAGAACCTATGGCACTCGTGCCGGAAGTGGCATGCAGAGCTATCTCTCCGGGCACGCAAGCTGTTGCCCATTGCTCTTCTGGGTTCCGGTGCACCGATCAGTTGGTCTTCACGTGCGCAGGAGCATCAGAAACGGGAAGAACAGCCGGCCGGCATGAATGCATGTACTGGGAAGATGATCTTTGCTGTGCACGCTGGCCAACTGGTCTTCCGGTTTCTGGCATGCATGCATGTGCGAAGTCCAGCTGGCTGGTGCCAGTGCATGTGGATCAGACAGCTGCTCTTACGG